CAGTTATACAGATCGACTTGCTCGGGAATGTGAATATCGAAATGAATTGTTACCATCGTCATCGTTCGTCCGACAATACATGTATGAACACATACAATAAACATTCATTATTATTCTTCTAAGAAACACGTATACGTATACTTTCTCACGTTATCCTTACCTCTGACAATTGTCCCCGGTACGTCCTACATGCTCCTCTGTTAATCGAATACAAACCGGTAGACACGGACGAGAAGAGACGAGAATCACGTCAGGCTAGCCTACTTAATTAATCACTTAACTCACTAACAGATTGACCCGACCGAACGAAAGGTAATCGATGTCTCTTCCCCTACATCCCTTTCTTTTTCTTTATTGACGCAGACCGCGAGAGAATACGGAGACAAACACGATCCGACGGGAACGTTTCTCGGTCGACGAGACCGCCTAGCAGCATCGTAGTCGGGAACGGATCGCAGGGAGAGAAAGGGGGTAAAAAGGGTAAAAAGGCATACTCGATTCATACTAAAAATTAAGACTCGTCTTTATTCATTGTCATTTACATCATCAATAAAGGCATACACTTGACCCTGGCCCTGACAAGCGGATTTACCTCGCCAAAGAATCGCGAACAACGTACTTATAAGACTGTGTTCACCTTACCTAAAACTGAAAGTAATAAATTACTAAAACGGAATCGGTAACATACTAGTAAGTAATTAATCAATTAATGATGGAAACGATACCTAGAAGATACTGGAGAAATTGAGACAGTAACCCCTTCCTTTCGAGCCTAACCAAGAGACATGCACCTGACCTTGACCTTGGTAAGCGGATTCACTTCACCCAAGGGATCGTGAACGATGCACATGCAAGAGCCTATTCACCTTGTCTAAAACTAAAAACGTTAAATTATTGGAATGGAATTGAATTGGACCTAATAAAACTGTAACAATTAATTAATGGCAGTTTCCCAATACAAACCTAACAGCGGGTGTAAACCTGACCTTGAAGAGACGATACCACCTCACCTAGAAGATCGCGGAGAAAGCGAGATAGTGGCTCCTCCCCTTTAAACCTGACCAAAGACACGCATCCGACCTTGACCCTAGTAATTGGATCCACCCCACCTGAAGGATAGTGAATGATGCACTCGAAAGAGTGCGTTCACATTGCCTAAAAAGCAAAACGATAAATCATTGATTTGTAACTGGATTGGATCTGATTACAACAATCAATTAATGACGGAGACAATATTACCTCACTCAGAAAATCGGGGAGAAATCAAGACAGTAGCTTCCTTCTTCCAAAGCCTAACCAAAGATGTACACCTGACCTTGACCTTGGTGAAAGACCCTACCTCACCTGAAGGATCGTGGAGAAATCAAGACAGTGGCTTCCTCCCTCTTCAAGCCTAACCAAAGGCGTGCACCTGACCTTAACATGTTGGTGAA